TCTCTTTGTCACCTTTACTAGATTTTTATCCTCTGTTGTAGAAATGTGCAGTTTAATGTTGCGTTTCAAATCATTTTGGGCTGAAAAAGTGTGTAATGGAATCAGGGTGTCCCCTGAATACTCCTAACAGTAGGAGATGCCTCTTTGTTTTGAACACTAGAATCTCAATAGACCCATGACAGCAGTGAAATTACACTTTTGACCTTGATCACTAAAGTGTTTCTTTCTCTGTATGATTAAATGAGAGTAACCAACAATAGCTTCCTCTAAAATGTATGAGTTTCCCTCTGTTTGTTTCTATAAGAAACTCAGAAAGGATGCTGTGCAATTCTCTGCTGATTGTGTTTTCCACAGAAGAAAAAAAAAAGAAAAAAAACCCCAAACCCTGCTTGATTCAAGGAGAGGTGGCTGTTTTATCCATATTAAAAATGCAAAAGCAATTGATATATTGACATTTTCCTTAAGCCAGTGTTGTTGCTACATCCTGAGTGTGAGAGCAGCAGTACAACACAGTGGCAGATTTTTACCCTTTTGTTGCCTCCTTCACACGTTTTAAAAGGGCATATATACTAAAGCACCAAATATTGTTTTAAAGTATTGAATCTGAATGTAGAAAATAACAATATACTTAAGGTTCTGTGTGAATGCTGAAATACTCAAAAGATCATTTAGCTGATCATCATGGACTATGCAGTTATGTCAATCCAAAAGATAAATGTAGTATTTTCTGTCGATTTACATGCAGCCTTTTAAGCTCCTGGTGTTTCTTTTCATTTGCGTGTGACTGAGTGGACGTAGCCCGCTGCAGGATTTGCTGTGACTGCCAGTCCCGCCTTACGCACTGAGGCGCTGGCACATCTCTGGCTCCACATTTAGTTGTTCAGGGCACGGCTTCTCTGGATCAGAAAATACTCGGTGAAGTGGCCAGAAGAGAGATACAAAATCAGATTTTTTTTGTTCCATTTTAGGCTACTTCAGCTGTGTTTTGGGGATTTTTTTTCCCAATATATTCCAGTTTTCTGTGAATATTTACCCGCTCCGGATTAGGGAATGTACTTTCTTTGTCATGCAGAGCATGTATCTGTGAAACACAAGGGCAAGTACAATCCTATAGTTTGTGTGGGTGGGGAGTTAGGTAGCTGGGTTCAAAAGAGGGGAGAGGACTTGGGGAAATCTGTAGTTTGTTTTTAGAAGGGATCAAAATAAGTGACTTAATGGCCTCTGTGGCCTCAAGACTTAAGAGCAGTTTCTCCTGTTTGGGCGCTGTGGATGATGCTGCATGGAGAGGGCATCAGAGCCATAGAGCGTTGGAGGGCTATACACCAAGGGGGCTGCAGATCTGTGAATCCCCATTTCCTATCCTGCCAAAAAAACTTTTGTTTTTTAATTTCTACTTCATTGGTGATATAAATTAATGACTAGTACTGGTCTGAAGCAACCTTGTCATCAGAGAATATTTGGTTAGTGTTGACATACTTGTTCCCTGCAAACATGAATCATCCGTCTGCCTTTGGCAGGCTCGCCCTGTGGCTCTGCTGTAATGTGTTTCACCAGCGTGGCTGAAATTAAAATGTCACTATTAAACATGGCAGAATCAGATGCTCTCTGGGCACTGCATCTCTTTGAGTTCTTCTTGCTTCCTCTGTAGCTATTTCTGACGGTTTAATAGGACAGCTGTATTCTGGTATAAAATAATACATTCATATTTCCACAGAGCACGGGGGGCTAAATGCTTTCAGAGCACTATTTCATTGCATACATGCATCTTTCATGCATGACAGAAGCAGTAATGCTCACGTAACGCCATGTTGCTGCTTAGTCCATTAGGAAGTGTAAAGTCAAAATTAATTGTTCTGCAGGACCATATAGAGTGGGTTTCTAAAAGCAGCTGCTGGGTTGTTTGTGGCTGCCACGTCAGCCAGGCTCCCTCCCCATGAGCAGTTATTGACTTTGGGCTATTGAATTCAGGGCTCTGGAGGTTGCTTGGTGGGAAAAGCCTTCAGTTGGTGCTTGGCAGCTCTGTCACTGCGAGGTCACGGAAAGGGCAATTCAGTCTCCAAACCCAATTAGGGCCTGATTCGGCACCTCTTCAATCACAGGGGAAAATCCCACTGAGCAGGGTGGCTCCCAGGCCAGGCTTTCGCACCCAGCCTCTCCAGTGAGATGGCTGACAAATGTGTCCGTTTTTGTCACTTGGGCTGTTAGAAATACCCTTTGCTGTCATGAAACTGCTAAGCAGCTGGTGTGGAAAGGTAGAGACTGGTAAGAGGATAATGAGCCCACCAGAGTTGAATTCAGACCAGTGACCTGTATATATATGTCTGCGTCCCTCCCGTTACTCATATCTAGAGCCATCTAATTCCTCGGATCAAATCATTTGACTCTTATGAGCAGCTATAACTTTCAAGTTGAATAAAATCCAACCTCTGAAAACATTAATGAAAAACATAAAACTGAGGCTCTGTTTTATCAGGTATCAACAGCATTGCTTTAATTCCTCCCCTCCAAAGGTGTTTGGGTTTTTTTGTGCTGGATTGTGCTTTTCATCCCAGGTGGCTGCAATTTCTAGTGAAAATAAGTTGAGCCATGAAAGGTTGACCCACTTGCCTCTGAATTGCTTTTTATATGATGTGAGTCCCTCAGGGCCCAATTCTATCCACAGAAGTGAGAATGATAGCTATCACATATATAGGAAGTATGTCAGTGTGCACAAAGAAAAAGGTGAACCTCAGACTGGTCTGAGTGGTCTTTAAAATATGGGTTTCCTGTGAAATGGTGATTAAAGGGGAAGCAAAGGATAATTAAAAAATTAGCCTGATGCCCTAGCAGTTATATCAATGTGTGTTCTTATATTAGCTCTTTCAGACAAGCACAAGATCAGTAGATCCCTTATGACTCTTTTAAACTAGCGTGTAAAATTTGGTTAGTGTCTGATCAGCTCCTTTGATCAGTCTAGTCTAGACTGTTGCTAGAGTACTTGGTACTAAACCCACAGACCCCTTAAATGGAGGCCTATTCAAGTGAGTCAAATTACATATGAAAAGGTTATAAAAACTGTCCACTGTCTTTGAGTAAATGACTCTGGTTCAAAGCCCAATACCTTAGGAATTGAATTAAAAAAAAAAGCAAAGGTGTTGTGCAGAAAAAGAGGTGGTGGAGTTCTTAATTGATTCTTAAATGACTGTTGGAAATCCAAATGAAAAATTTTCAGCAAACCTTTATTATTTTTAATTGGACTGGCATTTTTGTAAACTTGTAATATGTTCAGATCCCATAAAGGGGAAAAAAATCCATCAAAAATTCTGCACAAATTTCTCTTAAGAAATTAATGAGTTACAACCACCATGTCTGTCTCATTTCAAGCACACAATATTGTTTTTAATTGTAGCAGTGGAGGGCCAGTGGGAGCCTTCAGGATGTAGGTTGCACTCTTGCCACCTCTAATTTCTACATAGGATTGTTTGCAAGGGAGTGCTGGAAGCCCAGGAGCAGTAAGTTTGTTACCGGTCAAAGCAGAGCTGTTTTCCCCTCATCACTAGAGCCTTCTCCCACCTCTCCCATTGTAGCGCCATCCTGTACCTGTCTGTTCTTTGCCACATGAATCTCAGAAATGTGAACAGTTCCTTTCCTCTTTGATAATGCTCCTTCCTTTTGCATACTAGCAATAGTAGTTGATCATTTGGAGACAATTTTAGTCCAATATCATATCCAGAAGACTTGGAAAGTTATCCAGTGCAACTAATTTTACAAAGCTGTTTTGTACCCGGGCTGGTTTTCTCAAGATGCCTGTGTTTTGAATTTAGAGGTTAAGTTTTCAGTCTTCGTGTGCCTACCATATTTGTTGGATGCATTGCAGTGCCATCAGAATACCTGGCATAGAAGCAATGCCAGAAAATTGATCAAATCAAGAGAAGTAAGCTAGTGCGTAAATATCACATCAACAGGATGAAAAGATCACAGAAAGGAGACCATTTCAAACATATAGAAACTGGGATCCAAGTGACAGTTGCTTGTTTTATCTACACCAAATTCTGTGCCAATTCAAGAGGAGAGCTGGTACACTGCTACTATCCAAACACTGAATTAATCTACTTACGGTTAAGAAACAGCTCCAGAACAGGCATTAAAATCTTTGGGATGATACATAGTTCATCCAGCTCTTCTAAAGCGCCAAGCATTACTATACTTACAGAGCTACGTAAATAATGGAAAGATAAAAGAACGCAATTCTGTGAGTGAGTACATGACCCCTGAATGTGGTAGGAATACTGGGTAAATTCTTCCCCCTTGTGACTGTGTTTCAGCCAGGGGCATTACACCAGGGAAGAATCGGACTGTATTTTGCATGCAGCATAGCAGATTGTTAAGAGGCAACAGGCAGGTGTTTGAGAGAATTTCCTCTCTGCCGTTGCAGAAGCGTATGTGAAATCTCCTGGCTGATCTATAGTCATGCCATTACCTGTCATCTTTTGGCAGGTAACTAGTTAAATTTGTGTTAAACAGGATTTGCTTTGCCATTTCCATTTGCTGTTGGAGTAGAAGTGTTCTGACATGACATATGACCAATCAATAATTGGAAAGTGCTTGCATGAGTCATTTGAAGCCAGTAGTTTAGACAGTGTAAGCCACAACTGGGATTAAAACCTGCAAAGAGTTGTTCTACAGTCAGTGATTCTGCAGCATCTCCTCTGGGTGTCTGCATTTCACTTAATAAGGATACCCTGTAGACATCAACTGAAATAACTCTTGCCTTTGTTGCTTGGATGTTTTTGTGAGCTCTGAAATGAACTTGGCATATACAAATATACTTTGTTACCTAGCCTAAAGGATGCAGGGCAGGAATTATTATCCTGTTCTGCTGACAACTTCAGTAGAAAAGAAATGGCTTTATTTTACTGTGACTCTGAAGAGAGTAAGAGTGTGACTGTAACCTGTGGGTTTTCTGGGTATTTTTTTACAGGTTTTTTTTCTGTACTGATGATGTTTTATTACTATTACAGGGCTATAATAATCCGAAATGGCGAAGTCATTCCAATGTCTTCAGAATTCACTCCAGAGACTGAACGCCAGCGACTTCAGTATCTGGTAAGAGACCTGAGGACCAAATCAGGTGCTGCTGATGACAAGCATTGCCTGGTAATATCTAAGGTTCAGATACATGCCGCTGAGTTACTGTGGCTCAGTGAAGGACCACGTGTCCACTGAACACCAGTGACTGACCATATGTCTTTTAACCATCAGCAAGCGTGGAGAAAAGCCTGGTGGTGCAAATCCCGATGAAAGGAGTCTTAGCTCTTCTGTGGAGGCCGTTGATTAGCATGGCTGTGCTTGTGTACCTTGTTCAGCTGCAGACCTTCAGCAGCTCATTGGTGTTGAATAATGAGAGCTCAGACATAGAGCTAACAAGCCACAGAGGTATTTCAATCCATCCCAGTGTTTACTGTGTGACGGTATAAAATACCACAGACTGCTCTTTGTGTGCGTGTGAACAATATTGCAGGGTTTTATTCATTTGCTCTAATAGTATGCCAATAGTATCTCAACCAGGGAAAAGATATCCGACTTAGAGGTGATCTCAGTCAGCATTAGTAGCTGCAGGATAGGATGGGTGAAGAAAGACTGTTTTATTTAGTGCAGCAGTACCCATAAAGCTGGGACAGGGTGACTAGCTGAGGAGCTGTGGGATGCTTTATACGCCAAGTTGCGTTGGCTGATAAGCTGCCCAAGAAACATAAGTCAAAATGCATGGTGTTATTTTCCATGCACACAGTCCTGTTACTTCTAAGTTTTTCATCGATGGTCAGATCAGTTGGTTGAAGTTGGTTGGCTGTTTGTCAAAACATCGTTCCTAACGTGGCTGAGGGATTTCTTTTGTGCTTCTTCTGGTCTCCTACTTTTTCCTCTTAGAAATTTAAGCTTAAGCCAAGGCAGGCTCACTTTGCCTGACATGAGGTGGATAGGCCAGGGTGGTGGTGTTCCCTCTTCTTAAGGTGTCTCTTATCCTCAGCCTGGCCCAAGCACTGTGGTTTGAAACTAGGCAAAATGCCAGTGGTTGAAAGTGGGGGTGGAAGGTTTTAAAGAAAAATTCTAAATGCTTCCACAGTTGTCACGTTTGATTTTTTTTTTTTTTTTTTTTTTTTTTTTTTTTTTTTTTTTTTTTTTTTTTTTTTTTTTTTTTAGTCAGGTTCACCAGCTTGAAGCTGAAAATTTCAGAGAAAATACTGCTTTGGGAGTATTCATATTCAGAGAACCAAATGGAAAAGAGGCCTAATAAATATTTACAGTTCAGTTACATTTAAAATAATTTGTTTGCCTTTAAAATAAAAGGTATCTTTGGTATCTAGGGAGTCTGCTACTTCTGTAGGAAATACGAGATAAAGCATTGCCTACAAGGGATTTTTTCTCCTTTGATGTCCTTTCTGGCTTATATTTGAAAACAGCAGCTGATCTGAAAAGCATTTCTGCTGTTTCCTTTGGAAAATTCCTTTACCTTTGTTTGTTTATTTTAATTCTATATGTAACAAATATGCCAGGGCTATGGGTATCATGTTCAAAGAAAATACATGCAAGACAGAAAGAGCGTGAAACAAAATTAGAGATAATTTCAAACATAACATTCAGTAAGTAACATTTTTACTATAGTGGTTAAAAAAAAAAAAGACCCCAAATTTCTTACAAGGTTGGCATAAACATTACATTCCAAAGGTTGCATCTGTCTTGCTGATTAGATCCCAAGTAATTCTCCTTACTCACCTTGGCTGTCCCCAGGTTCTGCTATCAGTCTATTGCACCATCAACATCTCTCTTCTGCTGTTCTTTTTTGAAAGTTAGTTACTTTGGATTTATTTTCTTATATGCAGTTGAAGCTGAGTTTCTTTGTTTCAAACATGTTGCATTGCTCTTCCTGCACAATAGGAAGAAAATCACTTCATCATTTTAGCATTAATATTTTACTTGGCAAATGCAGAGATACTGTTCACTGAGGGGAAGCTACTGCACAGGCAAAGGGACGGTATGGATTTACAGCCTGCAGGCTACTGAGCTTTGGCTCCCTGTGCAGCAGACACTGTTAGCACAGTCAGGGCAAAGGAGCTTTCCTCTGCCTTTAGTGCCTGTTGATTGCTTCAGCCACACAGGATGTTGGTTTAGGTGAACTGGCATCTTCTGGATTCGCGTCCCCTTTTCTGGGCCCTAATTTCCATGTGCAAAGAAATCTGCAGGATAAATCATGCTCACAGGTCATGTGAGCATCTCTATGTGAAGTCCTCCAGCCTAGTCTTAGACAAAACTGTGCTTCAGCTAGTACTGGTTGAGTAACTGAGAGAGGAGGGGAAACAAATTTTTTCCCTGTCCAGCTCCCATTTTAATGCAGGTTTATTGCCATGTATCCAAGAATGGCCTTGGGTATAGGCCCCTGGCATGGCAACTTCAAAAGAACAAGTTGACTACCCAGTCATTATGACTTTTGAGCAGCATGGTCATCCCTTTGTCTCCACCTACACCCCCTTTTTATTGCAGTGGGAGGACAGCATACAGCTGCAGATTTCAGGCAGGTCATATGGCAGAGACAGACTTCTGTGTCAGGGGACTTGTGAGAGTATTGCAGAAGGCAATCAATCTTTCAGTCAGAGAGCACTTCTTAAGATGTAAAGCATGAAAGCCTTGCACCAGTACTCCCTTGATCCTTCGGCTTCTGTAGAGGTTCAGTGCAGCACACTGCTTCCCTTCCACTGGCGGGTGTTCATGAGCCTCCTTTTCTTTTGAATTTTTGTGTCTTTCTTTTCTTTTTAGCACTGTGGCAGGAGAGCTCACTAAGCGCCTACTCCAGGAAAGCTCTGGCTTCCTGTATCAGTGTATCTTGAGGGAGAACAAAATCCAGCATTGCCTGGGAACTGCTCTGGTACATTCAGCAGTTGTGCAGGCAACGACTGCCAGAGGCAATTTTCCTTTCATCTTCTGAGGAGACTATTAATTTCAGTCATGATAGTCTAACTTGCAACAGTAAATGGGTAGATTTTGTTACTTATTCCCTCGGAAAAAGTGTTTAAAATGAATGATGAATGAGTGTATTGCAGATGGGTGTATTTCTATTAGTTATCAAAGTTGCACTTCGAAGATGTCACGTGAGGTCAGTGTGGTGTTCCTGCATACCGTGTCCATGTGTGTAGCCAGGCAGTGCCCCAAAAGTTCACAGCTCAGACCAAAGATGGTGCACTGCTGCTACCAGGGCAGGCTTTACTACTGGTAGAGACTGGGTGGTCATCAGTGGCAGTGAGTCGTGGATGCTCTTTGTGTTTGGCACCATTCAAATAAAAGTTCATGAGCTCAGACAGGCATGGGTTCAAAGACGACCTATTCTTATCTCATTGTTCAGGTGAGGATTAAGTGATAATAACTTATCTGCTGAAGGATGCTTGGGGAGCCCAAGCCTGAAGAGGAACTGAACATAGATCTCCTAAATGTCAGTTCAGTGCTTCAGTTACAAGTTAGATGCATCTTAATTCTCTTACAGTTTGTGGCTCCCTGCATCACCCAGCGCAGGATTGCTTTGGCCGTCTGACACATTGCACAATGCTGTGCTAAGAGAGATGTGTGGTTTTATGGAAAGGGTCCTGGCCTTTCATAAGAGGAGAGACCAATTCAGGGATGGATTTGGCTCCCACTTCCCTCTTTCCTTCTACCACAACCTCCTTTAGTTTTAATCTCTGTTTGGCTTAAACGTGTCCATATGATAATGGCCGAGTAATTTGCAAAACTTCTGAATGCATTGTGCCGTGCATGCTGTTGTGAGCGGTAGTCCCATATAGTAAAATAGCCTATTGGAGAAAATGGCACAATATGATAAGAGGATAAAGTTGTAAGATATAGTTGACGTAGGGGAAAACAGCAATTCTGAAAATAACACAGAATACAGTGAAAGTGCAAATGCTGGTGGTGTCCCAGAGCAGTGCATACTGGAGGAGCTGGAAAAGGCATCAGCAGGCCTTATCGAGGTAAGATAAGATACATACAGTGTTCCCTGCCACCTAATTAACTGACACACTAGTGTGTAAGTCTAGGTTTATCTTAATTTCATATTTGCTTTGCTGATCACCAGGAAACACAGCAGGAAGTAAATGGCCTTTTGAAAGAAACATGACTAATATTTCCTTGAGCAGGCTCCATTTTAAACAACTAATGTTGAATGTAATACATCCAGCCACAAAACACACCATAAAATGGCAGAGTGCCAAAAACACATGGTGCAGACTATGCCAGATTTATGCCAAAAAACTGTAATAGCTTCTGAAAGAAAAATGATGGCAAATATTCCAGTTCCATAACACAGAATAACAATGTTGTCTGAACATACCTCGTAAGGATATAGAGAGTGTTTGATAGTCACTCTTCTTATTAAATTTTAAGTTCTCTGAATGGTGTTTCTGATCTGAGGTCCTTGCAAATCGAGACTAAACAAATGAAAAAATGGAAAATATGGTGTCTCATCACAGATGAAATTCTGGTAGTCAGTTCACTTACCGTTTTTGTTTCTCATTTGATCACTTGAGGGGATTTTGTGGTGTCTGCTTGTACATGTACTTGAAAGATCTGTAGGTTTTCAAAGCGTTGCTTTTTATTTATTTTCTGGTTCTGCTGCCCAGCACATTTTGATTGGGGTGGAGAGGGAGAAGAGTCCTGCCTCATAGTAAATGGAGAACAGTTCTCAACAAACCCAACTGGAAGTCGCAGCTGAATTTTATAGTAGAACATTCTTCTCTCTGTAGAATTACCAGTGAAGCATCAAAAATAACTGTTAAAAAGAAAAGGGTAAAAAATATAGAAATTAAAAAAAAAAAAGCCCCAAAAAGTCCCCATTTCTTCACATAAGAATTCAGCTCACAGGCACCAGAAGCTTCCAAATTGCTCTTTTCCCTCTGTTCTACTGACGCCAAAAATATTAGAATCAAGTTAAGATCCCTGGATTGTAAATCAAGCATTGAGGCTTGGCTGCAGAAGAGAAATCTTATTTGAACATTAGCAGTCCACTGGTAACTCTGCCAGCTTTATTAATCTTATTTCACTTGTGACCTCAGACTTTCCATCTGAGTAAATCTTTATGAAATGCAGTCTCTCCCAATCGCGTTACCTTTTCAATAAAGGAAATTCTTGTTTTCAAGGGGAAAAATGCTAAAAGCCTGTAACTTCTTTCTTCTGGACCTGTGATCCAGCCTAACAAGTAATCTCATAATCTAAAGGTTAAATAACTTCATTTTGATGTCAGGTTTGAGGTTTTTTTGCTTTAAATGAGGCTTCTTGTTTTGTAGGCAGGCAACAGTAGTCTTTAGCTAGAAGTGGTTTGTAATGATTTAATCAAGATAGGCTGTGCATTTTTAGAAGTGAACTGAATTGCACTTTCAAAGCAGACTTCATTGTTTACAGTATCATAGACTAGAAAGAATTTAAAAAAACGAAAAAAAAGTCCAGCTCTCTGCTGTCAATGTGTAGCAATACATCAAATAAATCATTAGGGATGTTCCATCTTTTTTACGACTGGAATGAAAAGAAAGAAAAATAAAACATTTACATGTACTTTTAAATAAAGAATCCAGAGTTCTGCAAGTATGGAAAGCCTCATCTGGACTAATACTGCTAGACCTCTCAAAAGTCACTAGTGCTTGTCAACCATTTCTGTAATGAGGAACAGTGTTCCAATTAGAGGGTCCTTGAAAACAATATTTGGGTGGGGGAGGGGACCTTGGCTGACTGTAGACTGCAGGAAAAAAATGTAATTCCCTTAACTGTACACGGAGAGAGAATTTGATGGAGCTCCTGTTCCAGGAAGGGATCACAATGTCAAGATCACATTTGCGTGCTTGAAAGCCGCCTCTTGAAAGCAGAATCCAATCTTGTCGGCTACACACAGCAATCTCCCTCAGCCCCATTTCAGCCGAGCTCGAGGTGTTTTCTGGAAGGATGCCTGGCGATGGGAACAGGGACAAGCTGATGGAAGGTTAGCGCTGTGATGTGCTGAGCCTGATCCAACTCCTATTAAATTGAGCGGGAGCAGGCTCGGCCCTTAAATGGAGGAAATATTTTATTGTGAACTATCTGCATGATAGCTGCCAGGTAGATCAATAAGGGCTTCCACTGCTTCCTGCCGCTCACCTTTGATGAGCGCTAGATTTATGACAAACCCACAAACTAAAGCCAGCTCATTTGGTCTGCCCTGACGGCAGCTGCTGCTGGAGATAAGACAGACTTTATTGCCTTAACTGTCTGGATAAGGAAAAAGAGTTATCTGCAGAAAGGTTAAGAAACAACTTTTTTTCAGTTCCCTAGCCAATTTGACTGTGTCTTCAGAAGAGCTCGCTCACAATGTGGCTTTGGGGAGGGAGGGGGAAAGGCTTGTTTATGCAAATATTAAAGAAAAATGAGTGAGGTTTAAGGATTAACCTATCGTGTCGGGTGATCTGTGTATAAATCCAAACCAAAAACCTGTGTGGTGGACAAAGAGCCTCGCAATGCTCTCAAGTACAGTCAGCTCTGAAGCACATGAGCCTCGGGCATGGCTCTAGCAAAGAGGCATCCCAGCATCTGCAGAGCAGCAACACCAGAAGGGACGGCAGCAGTATTTGAACGTTAACACCGTCAGAAGCATTAGTTGCGGTTGTGACACAAAACTGCTGCTGCTTTTCTTAGTCTATTCTGTACAAAGGAAGTAGTTTTTAGAAAACAAGAAAATAAAGTGCCCTGCAACTTGTGTTTATTTGCAGTGTCTCATGCCACGGGGTGCAGCACACTGAGCAGGTAAAAGGGAACATTTTTCTCAAGGCAGTGAAAGTTAAAGTGTGGTAGTAATACGAGGTTGTGTGCGTTGTTGGCATAGCTGAATGGGGAGTCAAAAAGCTTGAGCTTCACTCCACACACACCCCTCCAAGTCTCTGCTTGCCCTGTGGCTTTGTCCTTTGAACATTCCCTCCTCTCAGGTCACTGACTTACTAAAGGAGATGTGTTCTGTTTTACGAAGCCCTGTAGACTCCTTCAGGGTGAGTGGATGAGGTGTACTTCAGAGATTGCAAATGTTGAGAAGCAGGGAGAAGTGAAGGATTTTGAGGGCAAGAGGACTGCTCCCTGTAAGACTGTTGCCAGACACCAGGCAGGGTCGGAACTGGTGTATGTGCACATTTGCTGAAACGGAGCTCATCATCTTCCTTGTTTAAAAAGGGGGGAAAAAAAATGTGTGTGGGAAGGGAGCGGGAAGGGATGGTAATGCTGCCTCATTAAAAATAGATGATGTCTTGTTTTATGATGTTCACGTGGTATCTGTGGCTTGGTTTCTGCCCACAGGCTTACATGCAGCCCCACTTGCTGGGAAATGAGTTCACACATTTAGAGTTTCCACGGAGGGTGCAGCGTAAGGAAGTTGGAAAGAGGATGCTCTACCGTGACTTCAACATGACTGGCTGGTAAGAATGTGTCCTTCTCAGCATGGGGTCAGCCTTCTCCCCAACAAATGCCTGCTTTGTATGTATCTGATTAGTGTAAACTGCATCAAACATGGAGGTGTACGCCTGTGTACTAAAGGGAAAGGTATTTCCTTCTTTCAGATGTATTTTTCTTTTGGAAGTTAACATTTTAAATAGGTTGACCTCCCTGCAGAGCCAGGACCTCAGTTCATTTTAACGTGTGAGCACTCAAAGCGGAGCAAACACATAATGGGGAAGAGGTGTCAGGGGATCTTCCTGAAAGCTAAACAACTTTCCTGTCTTGGAAGTAGCTTTTTGTAGGATATGGATCAGTGGGCCGTCATGCCTTTGCATGCCGAGGAGTGCCTGCAGAAGGGGAGAGCTGCCTCCCATACTCTAGTGCAGCTGACCCCTGATTTGGGTAACCCTTGAGGAATTGTTTTAGAGACCGGCCTATCTGAATAAAAGTCGTAGCCAGCCTAAAATGAAAAGGTTTGAATGAACAGCATTGACTTAATGAAGTGAAGACAGGAAGAACAATGAGGGGTTTTTGTCTGTGGCTAAATGTCTTCATTGTTTTGTGTCAGTTCAAGAGGCTCCTTCTCAAGTGACTCCCACTCACTTAGAGAAGCCCTAATCCTTGCTGTTGTGGGCTTTGTGTGTGACCTGGACGGGATGCCATCCAGAGGGACCTGGACAAGCTCGAGAAGTGGGCCTGTGTGAACCTCATGAGGTTTAACAAGGCCAAGTGCAAGGTCCTGCACCTGGGTTGGGGCAACCCCTGGTATCAACACAGGCTGGGGGATGAAAGGATTGAGAGCAGCCCTGCCGAGAAGGACCTGGGG